GCTTGATGAGTGGTGTGTCGGTCCACACCTGGGATCCCCGGGCTGAACCCCGGGACGCCAAAGTGTCGTACACGAACTTAACCACTATGCCACCAGGCCGGCCCCAGCATGGATCTCTCTGGTGCCAGACCCTGGGCCTCTACCACAGTGCTGCATGGTCATGATTCCCTCTGGAATCATGCAGGGGCAATGTCTTCTCTGCTCCCAGCGTCTTGGGCTTCCTCCTCACAGCACCTGACACGCTGTATTGCAAGGACCTATTCACTTGTTTCCTTCTTTCCTTGTCTTCCTCTTCTATCAGACTGAATTCTGGGGTGGCAGGTCAGCCTTGCTCACTGCCATATCTCCAAGGCCTGCTGACCTGCTAAGAGATTGGGAGAAAGGACTTCCTGAGCAACTCGCTCCACCCCTAGGATTATTTCTCCTCTGGTGAACCCTGGGTGGGATGGCTGCCTTTAAGTTTGGCAGAACCCAGGTGTCCCTGCCCCCGGCTCAGTTACACGGGTTCCTGAGAACCATCTCCTGCCCCATCAGCACACAGCAGTGGAGAGAAGAGATCCCCGCATACAAGCTCTGCCTCTGGGTCAGAATCCCAGGAAACAAGAGGGCAAAGGGGGTCTGCCAGCTGGCAACTTGGGTCGTGACCCAGCACTTTTCCCTTCTGAGAAGCACCTTCCTCCTCCTAGAAGGAGCAGCTCTGACAGCAGATCCGTTTGCCGCCCAGACAGAGTGATGGGGCTGCCCTAGCCCCTCAAAGGGCAGTCACTGAGTCCCTTCATGCGAAGCCCAGAATTATAAGTACCAGGGTGTGTGTAGGGGGTGGGGGACAAGGTCTCTTGTCTCCTGAGGCTCCTCCCCCTCCCACCTGGGTCCAGGAGAGGGAGTCAGTGCTGTCTAGTCCTGGGACTTCTCACTGCCCACTCCCTACTCCCTCCTCAGGATGGCTTAGCCCAGCTGGGGCTGGCAGGCCCCCCAGTAGATCCCCCCACTCCCCATGGAGCCCAAGCCCCCAACAATCCCAGACTTTATTTTCCTCCCCCTTCAGCAGCACTCCCCATCCCCTTCCAATCAGCCCCAGCCCGGAACTCAGCATCACGGTCCCGTGCTTGAGCTATCTTTGAATCAAACATCGAGAAATTAGAACTTCTTTTTTTAAAAAAAAAAAAAGACTAACATTTACTTTTTTCCCAATTACCAAAGTAACATATGTTCATCGCAGATAATCTGGGAAAACACCAAAAAGCAGCAAAGAGGAAAATGAGCCTCAGCAATTCCACCATCTAGTGGCAACCACCATCAACACCTTGGGTGACCCAGTATTTCTTTTTTATAATTTTTATTTTTTTTCCCCAAAGCCCCGGTAGATAGTTGTATGTCATAGCTGCACATCCTTCTAGTTGCTGTATGTGGGACGCGGCCTCAGCATGGCCGGAGAAGCGGTGCGTCGGTGCGCACCCGGGATCCGAACCCGGGCCGCCAGTAGCGGAGCGCGCGCACTTAACCGCTAAGTCACCGGGCCGGCCCTGATCCAGAAATACCGACCCAGTATTTCTATGTGAATGCAAAGATGTGCTCCTTCCAAACTTCCTCAGGCACATCAATCCCCTCAGCTCACCCTTGACCTTCTGACCTCTCCTCTTGCCCCATATGTCTTCTGCAAACTATTAGAGGATTGTCAGAGGCTGGTCCCAAATCAATCCTTACTACAATCCTAGGGTGGGAATTGTTACCCGCTTTCCATAGATGAGAAAAATGAGAATCAGAGAGCGGAAGCGTCTTGCTTGTGACCATACAGCTTAATATGAAGGGGTGAGGTTGGGGTTTCGACTCATCTGCCTGGATCCAAAGCCTGTGTCTCCAATGTGAATAAGCTTTCCCTTCAGATTCCTTGCCCTCTCAAGCCCACTCTGAGGGACTCTGAAGAGGATCGAGGAACCATGGAAAGTTCTGAGGCAGGAAGGCCCCTGAGCCTAGAATTTGTGGTAGGGTCTCTTGGGCCAGCTCCCTAAGGCAGAGCAGCTCCAACTGGGTCACAGAGCGTCTGCCCTTTCCCTCTTATGTCTTCCGCCTAATCTCACATCCTAGTTTGAGAAGGTGGATTGGGTGATTCAGAAGTGGTGGCCCCTCTTGGGAGTGAATCCCTTTAGGCTCCCCAAACCGCACAATCCTGCCTGCTGACAAGGAACAGTTGACCAGTTCCATTAGCAGCTGTTCGGTTGAACTTAGAGAGGGGGGCCCCTGTCCGGCCCTGGGGAACCACACCAGGGGGGCTACTTTGGGGCTGCAAGGCAAGGTTGAGATCTGGTACAAGGCGCCCCCTGCCGGGCGGGAGCGACCTTCCTGGAAGAGAGCCCTGGGAGGTTTTGCACTTGTGCCCTTTCCAGCTGCCTCCCGGAGTTGTAGGCTGGTGTGCAACGTCCTATCTAATAAGTGCTGGTTTCCAGGCCAGGATCAGGCGGCTCCTTCGCTTGTGGACTGTGGTCTGCACCCCAGGAATCCCGGGGGGGTGGCGCAATAGGAGGCACCCCGCCCTGAATGAAGGCAGGGGGCCGGACGCCATGACTACAGTACTCGACCCAGGCTCCCCGTGGCCCCGAAGCTACAATAAGAGGAATCGTCAGGCTCAGGAACGAGAGGTCACCCCCCGCCCCCCGGGATGTCCCCCGAGCCTCCCTGGCGTCCCCACCAGACGCCACACAGTCGGTGTGTCCCCATAGCGAAAGGGCCTCAATTAACGGCTTCCAAACGGCTGGGCGCCGGCCCCTGACCTCTGACTCTCCCTCGGTGCCCCTTCCCCAGCCCCGCACAGCCCGGGACCCCCAATTGGCCCCCTGCACCGACCGCAGGTGTCTCCCAGCCCAGGATCGGGAACCCAAAGCCCGGCCTGGGGCCGGGAACGACCCGGCCCGGTGTTGACGGACACCGGGAGGAGCAGAGCCGGGAGCTTCCGGCGGCGCACTTCCGCTTCCGGCTCTCAGCGTCGATTCTGGCCCTGGCTCTGCCCTCGAGCGAGAAGGTTGTGGCGTCGGCTGGTTCCAGGCGATTGGAGGTGAGGGGGCCAGGTGGAGAGGTTCGGAGTCGGGGAAGGCTGAGGGGACCCGGCCGTCAAGGGTCTGCGGGCCGGCGAGAGGCGAGGCCGGGCCTGCGGGCGACCTGAATGGCGGCGGGGCGGGGAGGGGGTGGCGCGACTGCTCGGGGTCTGCGATCCTGGGAAACGGGACCTGGGGCCCGGGAGGACTCGGGTCTGGGGGTTGGGAGGGCGAACGTAAGACTCAGTAACCGGGGGTCTTGGGGCCTGGGAGACCCCTGAAGTCCGACTCTGGGGCCCCTCACCCCCCGCCCTGTGTAGCTGCAGACAGGATGATCGAGGTTGTCTGCAACGACCGTCTGGGGAAGAAGGTCCGCGTTAAGTGCAAGTATCCACTGGCGGCCGAGAGGCAGTGGTCCCTGGGGGAGCTTGGCATGAGCCAGGCAACTCAGCCTGTTTTGTGGGGTGATTTTAGTTAAAGCCGGGAGAGGGGGTGGATGGGGTCCTGGCAGAGTGCATTTAGCCCTGGAATGTCCTCTTCCGCGTTCTACTTCCCGCCGCCTTCCATTTCCTTAACTCCTCTGCGCCCAGCACGGATGACACCATCGGGGACCTTAAGAAGCTGATCGCAGCCCAAACTGGCACCCGTTGGAACAAGATCGTCCTTAAGAAGTGGTGAGTGCAATGGCAGAGCTGGGGGCCGGACAGGACTGGGCCAGAAGGTTTTGGTTGGGGGTGCGCTGCTGGCTGCCCTTTGCTTACAGCAGGGCTTCCTCAGCGTGCCTCCGGGGTGAAGAGCCGCCTTAGGCGTCTGTCTGAAAGGTTTCTTTCCCCGTAGGTACACGATCTTTAAGGACCACGTGTCTCTGGGGGACTGTATCCTTTGTGTGACTTCTTGAGGAAGGGTGTGCATACCCAGACTTGGTTCTTTTTGCTCAATACCGGAGTCTATATGACATAATGCACATAACGTGTTTAACTTAGTATGTGGCACATAGTAAGCATTTAGAAAATGAGAGCCATGTCATTATTTTGTTGGGGGAGGTGGGCGGTAGACTGGTGAGGTATTTTGACTCAGCTTAGAAGACACTTTAAGGTCAAAATATTTATTACTGAGCTCCGCCCGGGTGTGAAGAGGAGGTCAGGGTGGAGTGAGACTTGGGCATGTCTGTTGTGCAGAAGGAACAGGAACGTTTTTTATCGTTTGGATTCTCTCCAAATCAAAAGGACCCAGTCCCAAATGGCTTCCTTGGTCCTGGGCTGAGTCCTCAGTTCCCCCTGACCCAGGTGTGAGAGATGAGAGGGGTGGGGATGGAGCCCACAGTGAGGATTCCTTAACCCCTTTACTTCAGATGAAATCCATGATGGCATGAACTTGGAGCTTTATTACCAATAGAGCAGAATTTCTTCCCCCTGCCTTGCTCTCCCCTCTTTTCTCCCACCCTCACCCCTCACACTGGTATGGATGCTTGTTTTTAAAGACTCATGTTAATAAAAACTGAGAAGCTCCTTCCTTGTTGTCATCTTTGAGTGAGGGCTATCTAACGAGGGGAGGGTTGGTATCTGGTCGTCACTCTCTCTCAGTACCCAGCTGCTCCATAAGAGGTCACGAAGCGGGAAGAGTCAGCCAGCAGACTGGGAGCCTGAGTGGAAGCCCAGAGTGCTGGGGCTTGCCATGGGTCTCTGAAGGTCACGAGATCCTGGGATTATTGTCATCCTAAAAGACCAAGTTGCCTCTGAGTAGGGACAGTATGTACTAGTTAGGGATACAAGTTCTGGATTCAGACCGACTATGGGTGGAATCCCAGCTCTGCCACCAACAGTGACCCTGGGCTAGTTACTTAACTTCCCTAAGCCTTCATTTCCTTATCCAAACTGGAAGTGATGGTGCGTACTTCACTGGTGTGTTGTGAAGTGTAGATGAGAGAAAGCCTGGGTAAGCATCTCCAGTTCCTGGCACTTATGAAATCCTAGTGGACAGAGCGAGGCAGTGTGCCATAGGCTGAATTTTGACTGATTTAGCAGTGAGATTTGGGGAAGTCAGCCTCTCTGATACTGTTTCCTCCTCTCAAAAGGGGCACCATGATGGCGCCCGCATCTCGATGAGATAATGCAGTTAAAACAGCAGGATGGGGCCGGCCCCATGGCTTAGCGGTTAAGTGTGCGTGCTCCATTGCTGGCGGCCTGGGTTCGGATCCCGGGTCCGCACCGACGCACTGCTTCTCCAGCCATGCTGAGGCTGCGTCCCACATACAGCAACTAGAAGAATGTGCAGCTATGACATACAACTATCTACTGGGGCTTTGGGGGAAAAATAAATAAAATTATAAAAAAAAAAAAAAAACAGCAGGATGCCTGGCACATAGTGTTGTTACCTGTCTCCAGCCTTCCCCCAGGTGTGAGTACACAGGACACCAAAAACATCTCTGTTCCCTTGTCCCCAGATCCTGGGGTTGACCCTGGCCCTGGCCTTTCCCAGAGCCCTCCATTCTGGAGCCCTTCTCCAGAACATCACCTAAAACCTTGCTCCATCCCTCTTCAGTACATAAACAAGTCCAAGTCCAGCCCACTGCTCCTCCCCGCCCCCCAAGCTCCATCCAGCCTTCTGCCTTCCTTTCGCCACCAAGCTTCTTGGGAGGTGGACCTGCTGGCTGCCTGGGATGCTGCTGGCCTGAGGTCCATTGAGGATGGTCTCTCCTCGGTCTCCATGAGTCACCTCCCTACCCACCCCCCTGGCTTCCCTGCTGTCCCTAGGACTCCACTTCCTTCTGACATGTCAGAAATGTCTGCTTACTCTTAATGTCTGGTACCCTTACTCTTCCTAGTCTTAGAGCTCAGTCTCCCCCTTACTGTCTAAAAACAAACCCCACAAAATTCTTTTTAACTGCACACCATCCTTGGCAAGGTGATTCCTTGTTAATTTCAAATTGGCACAGAAAAGTACGGACCAAAAATAACACCCTTCTCCTCACCCCATTCTCTCTTCTCAGGTCAGGTCTTTTTCAACGCATTTACATAAACTTTAATTTTATTTATTTATTATTATTTATTTTTTGGTGAGGAAGAGTGGCCCTGAGCTAACAGCTGTTGCCAATTTTCCTCTTTTTGCTTGAGAAAGATTGGCCTTGAGCTAACATCTCTGCCCATCTTCCCTCTGTTTTTTATTTGGGTCACCGCCACAGCATGCCTTGATGAGTGGTGTAAGTCCGCGCCCGAGATCTGAATCTGCGAACCTGGGCCGCTGAAGTGGAGTGCGCCAAACTTAACCACTATGCCACCGGCCCAGCTCCTCAATTTTATTTATTTTTTTTTATTTTTTGGTGAGGAGATCAGCCCTGTGCTAACATCTGCCAATCCTCCTCTTTTTTTGCTGAGGAAGACTGGCCCTGGGCTAACATCCGTGCCCAT